CTGGGGAATTCTGGGAGTTGAAGTCCACACATCTTCAAGTCGCCAAGATTGAGAAACACTGCCCTTAGACGATGGGCAGAGAGAAAAATAGAGATGGGGTGCAGAAAATTTCAAATTTAAACCATTCTCAATTCAAAACACATCATTCTGGAATGGTTTTGAGCTCATATGGGGAGTTTCACACTGGAAACAGAGATGATTTGAATCTGAAAACTTCCAGAATGGTCGATACAGACTGTTTCACATTCAAGGCTAACCCTTTTATTCCCAAAATGGGATCCGTCAGATCTGAAAAATGTTGAATTCTGACCATTTTGCATACCACCCGTACAGAGACAGACATGCCCAGATCCAAATATATTTTTGAAGAACTGGAGAGAATGTTGTTGGCTGCTTAATTTTTAAGTGGCGCCCCATCAGTTGTAACTATTCTTCTGCACTCTTCTGATCTAGCTTTCTGCTTTTCTTGGAATAGGAACTTCACAGACCAGCTGCGCAAGATTTCTAAGGACGCAGGGATGCCAATCCAGGGTCAGCCTTGCTTCTGTAAATACGCACAAGGTGCTGACAGTGTGGAGCCCATGTTCCGACACCTTAAAAACACCTATTCGGGACTCCAACTCATCATAGTCATCCTGCCAGGGAAGACACCGGTGTATGGTATGTCATCAGAATGGGTGCCAGGAAGAACACTGGAGAAGTATAGTCCTTATTTGCCACCTACCTACCTACCCCTCCAGCAGGAAAATAACTAGACTGAAACCATTTTGCTTGACTTTCTATTTTTTTTCCTTTCAAAGTATCTCTCCAGGACCTTCCCTTTACTATTCGTTGGGCAGATCAGAGACTTCCATTTCCGTCTTTAACTCTTCTCCCCTCCCAGCAAGCCATGAAAATTGTTCCGCAATCACACTACTGAATTGGAGCCATTTGACTGCTAAATTGGGACTCCCGCTCTTGGATTATCAGAGAGGATTTTAAGTATAGAAATGGGAGCAGTTTCCTTTCCAGGGAAGTTTCTTGCTCTTGTTCTCATTCAGGAGAACAAGACACTAAGAAAGCCTCAAACCCATCCTTTCCAGGGATATCACCCCTGGCTTAAATGGAAATCTCTCCATGTACAAGGCAGAGAATGGTATAATCCAGTGTTTTTCAACCTTGGCAAGTTTAAGGCATGTGGACTTAACTCCCAGAATTCCCCAGCCAGCCATGCTGGCTGGGGAATTCT